CTGGTTTCCTCAGTTCAATTCTTGCCTAGAGCTCACACACACACTTATACACTTCCACACATTTGGTCCAAAATGTTTTAATAAGAATCGAATCAAAGAAACCAGACGTTTTATTAAAAACACACTATATTATACTTAGTTTTTTTTTTCAGACTATTGTCCTATGCCTTCCATTGCAGTTGTTATTAATTTCTAATTTAATTAATTAATCTTTTTCTGCTTCTTTCTTGCTCACACACATACAAATCCAATAACACATACACAAATTTCACATTTGCCACCCATGTGCCTAGAAACAAACAGTGGTGTTTATTACAACTTCAATTTTCACCAAAGCTGAAATATTAATCATACCAAAGAACATACTTGGAGTAACTCACAGTACTCCAGTCTATTCCCCTGCAGCAGTTCAAAGACGTAGGAAATTGCGTCAGTGATTGCTTGTTCTGTGGGTCGGAGGTGGAAGTAAATTTCTGAATAATGATCACTTTGGTCACATTGTCTGAATGTAAAATATGTATGGAGTGTGCAAACAAGACTCGCGTTGCCTTTGGCAAAGAGACACTGGTTGAGTGGGAGCCTGTGCACGCGTGGACACGTGCGCATCTGTCAGTGAGAAGATGTGCAGACACACACCAACAACCAAAGACAGGCAGAGACAAAGAAACAGACTCAGGCAGAGAAAAGAAACAGACACTGGTAATAAAATAAAATAAAAATAGCAGGAGTAAAATAAATAAATTCTGCACCGTTTGTTTTGGAGCATAAAAATCCAACTTGAACCATCATATCCTGATTAAATCATTTACTCTTTTTCTTATTATCACAGAAGGTTTTACCCAACTTTGGTGGCGATATTATACATAGTACATCTAAAACAGCAGCTGTTCATGTATATATTTTAGTCATGAAATGTTCTCATAAAGCCAACAGGAGAGAAATCGCCTACATCAACAACAATGAGATACTCAGGATGATGTCATGGCGACAGTAAAAGCAGTGTGTGCTGACCTTTGTTCCTGCTCGAGCAGGACACTGCAGCGTTCTGCGCCGGGTCCCATTGGGCATACAGAGTTTCACTGCATTCCTCATGCTGCCTGGATAACCTGATCCTTGTCACCCAAGCGTCTCCTTCAATGCCTTTTACAGCTTTGCACACTCCATCTCACTAGCACACATGCAGTTTCAGCTCTGCATTGTGTTCCTCCGTGTAGTTTTGTTACTTGTAGGCTCCAGTCGTTTGGAGCAGATGTGAAAGCTAGTGAAACATTTTTATTATCTTAGTATGATTTTTTTTCTCACTATTTTTTTGCTTCTTGGCTGGCATATTGTCTATAAATCCAAAGCAGGACCCTCAGGGGTCTTTGAGATAAAGATATTATGTGACATTAGCCTAGAGTAGCCTGAAGCTATTTAACAGCTACAAAAATATATTCACACTTTAAAATCAGTAAGTTGAGATCTGCTGTTTTGGCAGAAGCACATGTTGCATTTTTGTTCCTACGGTGGATATTACGTGTCGTCTTTGGGGATTACATTCATGTAGGAAAAGTTTTGAACGTATAAAGAAAAGCATCTTGCAAAATTACAGTTTAGTTTTGATTGTGTAAATATACAGCTTGAGAAGGATGAGAAAGCTGCTGTAAGGAGGGAGCTATTAAATGTTTGTATATCTAAAATGAAGCCTGCTAAATGTTAAAAGCTGCAAATGAAAATGATCTGTGTGAAGTTATTGTGAAGAATGTCAGCAAACATGTGTAAAAGATGGGGTGAGCACTTGTGAGAAGTCATTGTCAGGAAAAGCAATAAACCAAACAAGAATATATGATCCAGTGCTTAAAGTGTAAAACTTGCCACCTTTCTGCAAACTGCCAGTTGAGCAAAGCAAACTGAATTAACTATTTGTATCACAAACTATGATGAGAGTCTGCACAACAGCTAAAAATCAAATAAGTCAAGAAATAAGTCTGGTGTTTGTGTTGCAAATAAACAGCATTGAAACTCCCAATCACAGAGAGCCATTTTCTGTTTAAGGTCCTGAATGGTAAAAAAAAAAAAAAGCAACAACAATGTGAAGCTTGAATCAAATCGTTTTGAAGATGCACACTAGGTTTCAAGGAGATGAATGACTGCCACAAAGGTGCTTAAATAAAACTGAATGATTTATTAAAGAAAAAAGGAAAAACAAAGACTGATGTGGCAGCAACAATAAAACAAAAACTAGAGGAGACACGGGTCATACACAGAGAAGAACTAAACGTGGCATGAAGTGCACAATGACACATTGTAGGTGAGGTGAAGAGTGGGTAAATAAATGGACTGGGGCTGATGGAAACATTGAAAACATTGAGCCTAATGAAAAATTAGAAAATTAAAGTTAGAAAACATTAAAATTAGAAACATCTTGTCTAAAAATGATGCAGAAAGACTGGTTCATGCATTTGTCATGTCTAGACTGGACTATTGAAATGGTTTGTTATATGGGTGTCCAAATATTTCTTTAAAAAGTCTTAAGTTAATCCAAGCAACACGGTGGCACAACTGGTAGAGCTGCTGCCTCTCAGCGAGCAGGTCCTTGGTTCAAACCCCGGTCCAGGGGCCTTTCTGGGTGGAGTTTGCATGTTCTCTCCGTGCATGCATGGGTTTTCTCTGGGTACTCCAGTTTCCTCCCACAGACCAAAAACATGCATGTTAGGCTGATTGGTAACTCTAAATTGTCCAAAGGTGTGAGTGAGAGAGTGAATGTTTTTTTGTCTCGTTTGTCTCTAT